CCACATCCCTATGATACCACCCATGAACCGCAACCGTTCCAATTTGGAACGGTTTGGGACTTGAAAATAATTACAAGATATTCCAATTCAGGAGAAGGAAAGCCACACCGAAGGAAAACTAGGGGCGCTCTCCGTTGTGGCTCAGAGATTATCTCCCCTCTGCAAGTAGCATGCCTTGAAATAAGAGGATTACTGACTTCGACCACATCTCTGATGTTGGTTTCACCAAGATTGACGAGTTGAGGGAGAAGATCGGTGCTGATCAATTAAGGAAGCAGGCCATTGTTACCCCGAACAAGATAGGTGCGCAGATTCTCGAGTCCAACGTTAATGCTGGACTCAGGTGTTCAGGTGCGAAGTATGCGTAGTTGAGTTTAGAAGAGCCGTTGATCATCATGCGCTTGATGCACCCTGTGTAAGAGGGGGTTCACTCGTGGTATATCCTACAGCGAAGTCCAGAAGTACCTAAAACAAATCTAGCAGCAATAACAAGCTTGAGAACCAAAACCGTCCCTACAGGAACTACATCAATTAAGCATAGTAGACAAAAAGTGTTCGGATCTTCAGACTCTAGCTTCCTGCGATAGTACAGTGCCGCTGGTACTAACCACTATGTATTGGTCGGACCAATACATAGTACCAACTTGGTCCAGTCATTTAATGACTGTCATTACACTGAACTACCACGGTAACACTGCCGTATCGCCAAGGCATTTTGACCAAACCATTCGCACCTGTCTCACATTCGTATGGCAGACCTGATCCTTCACTTTTTCGACATAAGCACGACGATAACCTAGGCCTTTGAATTGAGGATTTGTTTTCACGTCAGTCCAGCTTTTGAAGCTGACTATCCCAATGGCGGCTCTTTCTCCCAGAATTTCGAGCCCCCATATTCAAAAGCTTGTGAGTTGTTGTGTCTCTCAGAACACTCCGATTGACCAAAAGTAGCCCAGTGTCCGAGATGGCCGGAAATGATGAGGAGTGGAGAGATGTTATCGTACTGGAGAACGTTGCCGCCGCCGAAGTATGCAACATCCATCGCTTCGCCGGTCACGGAACAATAAGTTGAGGCAGTAGCTGATCCCGAGAGGTGCAACGGTTGGGTACACATAGAATAGGCAGAATCACAATTACCGTCGGTAACGAAGGCGGCCTCGCTCTACTAGTTCTTATCGTATTTCCACCAACCATCGCTGAAAAATCCTCCGAGATCTCATTACAAGACGAAAACACTTCTTTTGTCGAGTAGTTGAGTCAACTAAGTTGACGGTTTCTTGCAGCGGTGGAACTCCAATTCCGTAAACTGCTTGAGCGGTGGATTGAATTCTCCATTGGTGACCAATGAATGGTCTCAGC